TTGGTTTAAACTTCTCGCGGGGCCGGGCCGTGAGTGGATCCCGGAACTTTGCTCGCTGAGTCGAAGTTTATTGTGGCCTTGGCCTCTCACAGGTGGCGTTACCCTCCGCATCGTTGATATGGGATGATAGAGCAATCATCCGTACAACGAGTGACAGCAGATCGGATCTACGAGTATAATATATATATATATATATATATATTATATATTACGGAGTATACACTACGTATTTGGTGCTGTTCCAAAATCTATGGCTGTGATTCTTATAACTGTTTACTCTCAGCATCGACTAACAGCACCCAGTACGGAGTACTCCGTACTCCGTACTTTCTCTTGTCTTTCAAGATTGGTTGGGAAGGGTCTCTTTGACCGTTAACTAGTTAGTTAGCTGCTGAACTGTACTCCGTACCAACGGCTGGGATCTAGCTCTATATTTGTTTTTCTATCGTTTTGCTGTCCTTGCACCCAATATTATGCACATGGGCCCCTCTAGGCTTCACAGCCTTAGTTAACATCCAACTAGTCTGGACTGTATTGAAACAATGCCAAATTTGCTTTTTCAAAAGTACTACCACCCCTGAACCAGTTGTTAAAGAAATTTGTCCCTGACTTTACTCCGTACAGACCGCAGTAACTATCATCTGTAGTTATGTTTGTTGTTTATTTATTTACTTCGTGTTTATTTTTTAATATACCACTCCCTTTACTCCGTATATAGATCACAATCCCATTCCATATATTTAAGCCTCGCTTGATAAAACACCTCTTTTTTTTTGGACATATAGACTCGACAAACTTTGAGACTCTGAAAATGGTCGGTTCTAGAAAAGCGTCGCAATTGCAGTACCCTTACCCGCACTCCCAGCGGTACTCTGTTCCATTGGCATTTAGAAAACCACAACAAAGTACAGGAGAGGAAGCTAGCTCTTCTTCACTACCAGGTATACACTGTTGTCTTTATTGCTTTGATATAATATTTACTTATGCCATTATAGGAAAAAAATCGTCCGCTTGTTGCTCATATGCCAGGCCCCAGCTAGACAAAGAGCCCGATAGCGTGGAGATGGTATCCCTTGAGATAGGAGATGAGCAGAAGGTCAAGGCCTACTATGAATCCGCCCTTGCAGCCTTCCAGCACAACAACTGTCTCCACATAGCAAAGTCATACGCCAAACTGATGGACCCGCGCAATGAAATCAATCACTCACACGACGAAGACGAGAAGGGGCCTCCAACGGAGGCCACTCCCGGCTGGTGGCCAGAAAACCTCATCTGCCGTGAACTCAATTACCAGATGGAGTCGGAATGTATACGCCTCCTTATCCACATCTTCCGCGACCTTGGAGATACACACGGTATCACTACAGATAAGCTAGAAGAAGCGGGCCGTGGTGTACGCAGACACATAAAGCCTCGTAAAAGACTTGTTATTTTGGATGAGATTTACAAGGTCCGGAGGGCAGAGGAGTGCTACAAGAAGGGTGAAATAGGTAAGTTTAGACAAAATGAAGCATATTTACTAAGCTGACATGACTCTAGATGCAGATACTGTAATATATGTAAACAAAGAGCACACAAGGGTCAAGCAAGACTCGCAAGTTGCAGACGACGCTGATTATCAATGTATAATTACGGTCTAGAAAAACATATATTCAGTAACTTATTATACACACCTTTTTAATTTATCAAGTGAAGCAACCATTATACCGAAGATTGTGAACAGACATAATGCTGGTGGCATGATTATTGTTGTGGAAGTTGTTGTTGACCAGTTCAAGCTTGAGAAATGCGAGGGAGGGATGAACCGGAGAATTCTAGCTTCTCAGCGCATCTCACACCTACGGTACGATGATCCGGCCATTACATCTATACCCTATTATCATCACTCGAATCATGATATTTCCTTCTCACTACTTTGGACGGCAAAAAAAATATGTACATCACACCAGCTTATGCACTCTTTCTTACAATATGTTGACGCCCGATCATCTCGTTCACCCCTACATAAAACACGGTTCAAGTTGATTTTCAGCTTCTTCAACTAAGAAGATTCAATCTAATAAACCCATCTTGCGTAGATAGGGATGGCAGTCAACCTAGTAAGGCCAACTCCGTTTTAAGAAATGTTGTCAGAGTACATATATATATAATGAATTACATTTTCAACGACTCCCCCTGAAATCATAGTGTACATAACTATGTTGCCAGAGAGACCTATATGGTATGGTCGTAAAAGACGAGTGCAAGGCGGCTGAATCCCCTGCACCCATGCTCCATACTCCATACAGTAAGATAATTAACAGCCATCAGCATTACACATCCTAATGGATAACCGCGAAGAAGAGGCTAGTTAGTGAAGGAACCGACAGATTTTTAGTTAACCCACATTTGCCATTGTTAACTAATTACATTTAAGCATGCGGCCCGAAGGCTTAACTAGTTAATTAACTTAGTTAACGAGTTAACTGGATTTTAACTAGTTTAACTTAGTTAGTTCATTAGTTAGTTAACTCGCTAATACTAGCTAACTAAGTTAGCGATCCTCAAAACTGAACAACATCAGACTGCGACCTTGGGATTCAGTTAGCGTACGAAGTACATGATTCTATTATCTAGAATTGTTAGCTATTGACAACCATGCCATCAAGCGAATATCGGCTTGGAGTAACTTGTTAACTACAAATCCCTGGCTATAACAGTTCCGTTGCCGGGGTACCTGGCTTGTTAGCCGATGTACCAACTCGAAACCAACGCAGCACTGTGGTCAGATAATTTCAGATCAACCAAGGCATTTACATATTTGCTAAAGGGTGTCGTTTACCCATTTCACCATCATGACACTGGATGACATAGTTTTAACGTGGCGAAGAAAAGGCAGGTCTTGTCTCTCGAGGAGATGGAAAGACTGCTCAGGTACCAGGTGGCAATACGCAGCCGGCCCTGTGAGAAGCAACATTCCGACCTCACCCCAGTGCCCGCGACAGCCCTGAGAGAACCAGAAAGGAGCTCAATGGATATAAAAAGCAAAGTGAAATGCTAGATGACCGGGGGCTGCCAAGAAGAAATGCCTTTGTCGCACCTTTCTCCAGGGTATGTTCGCATTGGCTTACAGGAAGATTGAATATCATCTAATGTCGGAACATGGACCACAGGACCATGGGACAAAAAGGCCTTATGCCCCATGTCCACAACGGAACATGAGCCATCTGCGAGTTCTACAGACACAAGAGGATGACTAATCCTGACTTCTAACTAATGCACCTTTAGGCAATCGAACATGGCCAAGATAGGGTTTATATTGAGCATAACAGTCCAGCAGGCCTGTATAGTTTCACTAGCGTATATCGAATATCACCTTGGCTTCAATTTGGCCCTTGTGCTGACCGAGAATGAGGTATCGAAGATACTACCAACCACGAAGTAACTGGGTTACTCCGGGAGGAGATATCAGATATTTCCATCATGAACACCGAATGGTGGACTGACATATACGACCGCAGTTCCAAAATACTTCGTCCAGTACCTAGAAAAGCCCGGTTCCTATGCTATCACCCGAGATTCATGATATCATTTACACTTTTGCTACTCAGGGCCACAAATGGCCCACTTGTTGATGAACGAAAAATTTGATACCTCAACATTTCTCGCCGGACTAGGTAATTTGAGGGGCTTCCATTTCTCCTGGATATCAACCTTTCATTGCTTGATCCCAACAAGCAAATGATGTGGGACTTTCCCGTTCTCCTACCAGAATGCAGCTTTCATCGAGAATATCGAGGATTTTATCAGCTTTTCCATGTCAATCGGGTCCATTGGACGTAAGAATATCGTATCCCTGGAGCTTCACTGGGAGAGCAAAGCGGGTATATTTTCAACTGTACGGAGCACTCGTGTCAAGGAAGATCATAAAAGCCCACAACTGGTTGCCGTCAGCCCTTGTGTCAAGGTACGCGGCACTCCTCGGAGAATTTTGGAACTTGAAAATATTACATCTCCGGTCGACGATGGCATGTTGAATGCTGTGCATTTGGAATCCTTCAAAACCCACCCCAGAAATCTTGAGCTTTGTTCGCTCAAAGTCGAAAGGGTTCATCTAAACGGGTTTGAATCAAGTCTCGACCGAAATCAAGTCTCGATCGAGATGAGTTTATCAAACGGCGCAAAGGAGCTTTGGAACACTCATTAAATGAGAGAATATTCTCGATCCAGTATTTCCAAGGTATCTGGGCGGGGTTCAGGCATGAATGCCCCCATCCAATGCTTGGCCTATCGGACATATCGAATCTCGCAGCCTCACCTGACAGTCGAGCGTTGAGGAGCCGCTGCTGTCAACCCCACTGATTACCCACCAACCTAGCCAGTCAACAGTTAAGTAGCGAAGTAAGCTTAACCATTTCCTTGGCTACCTATCACCCGTTGACAAGCTTATTTCTGATCGTAAGATCACACTGCCAAAATCTGCCTCAGGACCGAAATATTAAATACCAGGACTCAATGACGAGGAAGCTTTTACCGAAAAGACACAGATAGGGGCCCATTTTTGGCCCTTCCTATGATCATGAACAATCCAACAATATCCATTTTGTTAGCTGCCTCAGGTTATCCAGGTACAAAAAATGCCTGTAGCCGTGGAGCACAGCATCCCTGGACAACTGGAAGAGCCAGGGTCGAAATCTAATTGTTGACATGCCAAACGCAAAAGATTCCATGCATTGGATAGAAGTGCATAATAACCAGCTCCATTTGAGGCCATTAGGGAAACATTGGGATGCACCTCTCCTGCAGTGCATTACATATAAAGAGCGTCCTATCTCCCCCTGTTGGCCCTCCATTGATCCAACGTTGACGAGAACACCCACGAAAAGCATTACACACGACAAAGATGAAGCTCTCAAAGCTGTTATCCTATGCCGCATCTTTCGGCTTCTTAGGGGCAGTGTCAGCAACTCCCCTTCGAGCAAACCAGGAGCTATCAGCCCGACAAGAGGTATAGTTTATATATGCCACCACTCGATATCCTTCTCACTGAACAGCCGAATCTTACATATGGACAAAATATTGAGCCAGATATATTCCCAAGAAGATGCTTTCCAGACCCGTGCAAGCATATAAAATTCAATCCCGAATATGCAGACTCAGTGTGCGGAGACCCACGGCTTGGACCGCTGACCCTACCAAGCCGTTTCCCCGTGTCGGTTGAAACAGCGACATATTATAGATATGGTGGCCTCTGCGCGGATGAGTTCATTTTAAGATGGGCTGGGGACTTAGACCCAAAGAAGTGGTTCAATTATCCGGACTTTGACGGCTTCGCACTCGACTCTCAGGGCAAACCAATAAAGGCTGAAGTGACTCTGACTGTTGGACGAAAAGTGGACCGATTTGGGAGCCCAAAGGGCAAGTTTGTTGCGCCTTTGGGATCGTCATATATCTCGCGTTCGCTGCCGCCGTCAAACCTCGCACCAGGCAAAACAGGAAACTACCCGGACAATTATCACGTCTATATGGTACTGAAACCATTCTCGGGTTTCTTAGGTCCGGTAGCTAGCTGGTTTGGCCAACCAGGCCTTGGTTCGCAGATTCACCTTAAGTCTAGCGTTGAGGAGCTGCTCACCGGAGGCTTCCTGCGAGAGTTGAGGGAGGATGAGTACGATGAACCGTCCGAATACTCATATGACCCTAACCCCGGCAAGGCATAAGCATTGGTTCCACAGCATATATAGTTAGATCTAATAGCCAATTGATAATTCTAATATATGCCATCAGTTTGTCTCAAAAGGCAGGACCATACTCCGTACCTCGTAAGAATATACAAATTAGCGCTCTTCAGTATAGACTACTGTGTAAATTTGCACAGCGATATCTTTCATCTCACAGGATGAGTGCAGGTCGCGGTATAACTTTGGCAGTAAACTGGTGACGGTTAAGGTTGGGGACTTGACGCCACTTCAGGGATGCATCAAGAACCATGACATGAGCTGCATAGTTCTTTGCGGGGAAGCATGTCCATGCATGGACATATATATACCCTTCTCATACCGCGGGCAAGATTCAGAACCCGAAAATAATATACTGCGGAATTGCCGAAATATTGGCCAGTTAATGTGAGAGATTTATCATGGGCCTTAACGAGATCCGAACAGCGATGCGAGTTGATCGCAGGAAGCCGGCAGCAGAGCAACCAGGAGTGCATGTAAGTAACTATACGAACCGGCATAGTCGGCCAACAAACTGACATGAACAAAATCAACAGAACAGATGGCATCCTGACAGTTAGTGGCTTCCCTTTACCACTATCATTATTGACATATAGTTGACCTTACGTGTATTTATATATATATAGTTCCCGCCTGTGGAAGCATCAAGAACGGCGAAACAGTCAAGATTGAATGCCTTGACTGGACTGGTGGACAAATCAAGAACAACGACTGTGCAGATGATGTCCGTGACGTTGACCTGACGCACGTTCATTATTTAAGCGGGCCGTTTGATGTAGAAACGGCAGAGCCTGGAGACGTGCTCGTCGTTGAGATCCAGGACGTCCAGCCGTTTCAAGACGAACCATGGGGATTCACTGGAATCTTTGCAGCTAATAACGGAGGAGGATTCCTGTCAGAGTTTTATCCGCAAGCGTAAGGAGTCTGCAACCCCTTTTTGGATAATTGATGTCCAGTCTGATAATATAGATAGAGCGAAGGCAATCTGGGACTTTGAAGGGATATTCTGCTCCTCGAGACATATCCCTGGAGTTCGATTTGCGGGACTGATCCATCCTGGAATCCTCGGGTGCGCGCCATCTGCAGAGGTCCTGGCTGAATGGAACAGGAGAGAAGGACAGCTGATGGCAGAGAACGTGGGATCAGAAGTGGCGAAGCCACCTGAAGTCAAGAACGCACACGCTGGAGGAGCTACAGGTGAATTGAAGGCCAAGATACAAAAGGAGGGAGCTCGAACTGTCCCTGTATGACGCCTTTTGTTTATGCCCTTTGCATCTAGCATGTGGTAACTAAGACTATACACAGGGCCGGCCTGAAAATGGCGGAAACTGCGATATCAAAAACCTCAGCCGTGGAAGCAAAGTCTACCTCCCCGTGCACGTCAAGGGAGCCAAGTTCTCTGTAGGAGACCTGCATTTCTCTCAAGGCGACGGGGAGATCTCCTTCTGCGGCGCCATCGAAATGGCTGGTATCATCACGGTTAAACTCAGCGTGATCAAGAACGGCATGGTCCAGATGGCGATGAAATCTCCTATTTTCATACCAGGTCCAGTCGAACCCCAGTTTGGGCCCGGTCGGTATCTGACCTTTGAAGGATTTAGCGTCGATCATAATGGGAAGCAGCATCACCTGGACGCTACTGTTGCCTACAGGGAGACATGTAGGAGGGTGATTGAATACCTGCGTAGGTTTGGGTATTCGGATGAACAGGTCTATCTGCTGCTTAGTTGTGCGCCAGTCCAGGGCCATATTGCTGGGCTGGTGGATATTCCGAATGCATGTACGACGATGGGGGTGCCCATGGATATTTTCGACTTCGATATTCGTCCCGAATCTGTTCCTGAGAAGAGGGATTTAGGGAGTTGCGCCTTCACCAGCGATCGCAAGGCTTAGTGCCAAACCTGCAAGACTACTATTAATTACTAGATAATAGTTCAGCCTTTTCTCGTCACTTTCAGAAGTCTAATGGTTTATTATCCTTTATCTTGCCAATGTTATCAGAGCATGCTATCCAGCATTATTTCCAAGGATATAATAACCGCATAGCTTCCCGTTTTGAAACGATTCTGCATCGACAGGTAGATGTAGAGTCATGGTGAAATGAAATGAGCAGAAAGAAAAAGAAAGAAAGAAAGAAAAAAGCCAACGCCATAGGCTCCGGCTCCGGCTCCGGCTCCAGGTTTCTTATCCTCTTCAGTAAACCAAAATGGCAAAAAATGGTCCAGTGAGTAATGAAAAAAGCGAGAACCTAATTAAATTACACGCTTTGTTCTTTTCTAATATAAAAAGGGGTTAAAATGTCGTTAGTTGGCGTACATGATTTGGGTTGCATATTGCGTCTTGTATGCGATAACTAGGGTCGAAACCGTGTAATTTCCATAAATTAAGAGAAGAATTTCTTTGCAGCAGCTTTGGCCTTGCGGTCTTGCTCAGCAATACTCTTCTTCACACGGGAGATCTCGGCAATGATTCCAGCGTCGTTGGGGGCAAATTTGGCAGCGGCTTCTAGGTCCTTGAGAGCCTCATCCTCCTCCTTCAATCCAGCAAGGGCAACAGCTCGTCGATAGTGGGCCTTTGCCCGGTCCGCATCCTTGGCTTTGGCATGACCAGCTTGGTCGAGAGCATATCCAGCCCAGGTTCGGCCGTCATTATAGCGTCTCAATTTGTTAGCCAGGAGGGCGGAGTTAGAGTGGAGGGCAAATCGGAGAGTCATCATCTGTCCAGCAAGCTCTGGGGGGTCATTCTCAGAAGGCTCGGCATATTCATTAAGATAGCGCAAACCCTTTTGGTATTTCTCCAGACCCAGCTGCACATCACCAGACTTGAAAGCAGTATTGCCAAACTCCTTAAGTTCAGTGGCAATCTTGAAATACTCGGGACCTGTGAACTCCTGGTCGTTGTCTTCTGGGTAGTCTTCATATGTATCTCCAGTTGGGTCTACAGCACGCTTAGTAGCGGTTTCATACTCATCGCCCGTAATTTCACCGCAGGCAATGACCTTGACTTCCGAGTGTGGCTTGTCACCAGGGCTGGTTGGGAGTTGTTCCACCTTGCGGACAAGTCCTTTGCCGTTGATCACCTCTCCGAAGACGACGTGCTTTCCATCAAGATGGGGGGTGGGCACAGTGGTAACAAAGAACTGGCTTCCATTGGTTCCGGGCCCGGAGTTGGCCATGGAGAGCAGGAACGGACGGTCATGCTTGAGTTGGAAATTCTCATCGTCGAATTTCTCCCCATAGATTGACTCTCCACCGGTACCGTTAAACTCGGTGAAATCACCACCCTGGATCATGAACTGCTTGATAACTCGGTGGAAGATGGATCCTAGTAGAAGGATGAACTTAGACACAGCTTCACCAAAGCCCAAGGTAGCGAAAGAAAAAGAGCACTGATGTACGCACCCTTGTAGCTCAATGGTTTTCCGGACTTGCCCTCTCCCTTTTCTCCAGTGCAGAGGGCACGGAAGTTCTCTGCGGTCTTGGGGACGACTGTTTCACGTCAGCTTTTTCTCGTTCTGTCTCTCCGAGTAGAAGAAGCTGGATGCTAACCATCGTTGTACTAGATAATTATTAACAACCGTGTTAGTTATAAGTCCGCAAGGTACCGATAACCGAGCTCGACCAGACTCTGCAAAGCTTACCAGCTCAAACACAACCCTTCCCTCTGGTCTTCCACCAATCTCGATGTCGAAGTATACGCGCGGGCGAACTCCTGGAAGCAGGTGTCTGTCAGCAATAGGCTCTAGAGGCTAAGGAATTATGCTCTATGTACCTGAAGTTTCAGCCATGGTTGCTTCGGCCAGGCACAATTGCACAGTGTAAGTCTATAGCTCTTCTTCAATAACCGTCTTCTAGCACAGAGTGAGTCTCTGATATCACGGATGAACTGAGGCAGAGGCGAGAAAGCGAGGAAGTGAAGAAGAAAGCGAGAGCAAGAAGAAGAAGAAGAGGCAGAGGAAGTTCAGGAACCTTCTACGCTTTGGGTGACCCGCGCGGGAGGCAAACAGTGCAAACATCCCCGCGCTAAGAGCAGCCACCTCGAGCCCTAAGCCCTGATTCCGCTTTGGGGAAACAACGTCTTTCATGTCTAGGTCTATATATAAGGATACAACAAGCAGTCCTGGGATGCGACAGGTGGCCTACGATAGATGAGATGTCTAGCTGGTGCTTGCACTAGCACTGGCACTGGCACTGGCACTGGCGTTGTCTTCCTTCTTTGCTGGATTCGTGTCGATCTCCAGCGTGACCTGAACCCCCTTAGCACCGGCGCTATACCTGTACAAAGGACAAGGACAAAGGAGTACAGATACATACCGGTCCATCGTTAACTAAACCTACCTCCATCATGGCTTGGAAAACTCCGTCCTTAACCCGCTCTGCAGTGTACAGGTTCTGCACCTTTGAGTGGAAGTACTCATACAGCTCTCGAGCCGTCTTAGGATCTGCCGCTTTGTGGAAGTCAGGCTTGTTGCCTTTTTTCAAAGTAGCAAGCAGCGTGAATTGTGACACTGTTCGGCAAATAGGTACATGCATTAGCCTGAGAAAGGGTAACCGAGGGGGGGGGGGGGCAAACTTGGTAACTACCCAATAGACGATATAACATGGATGTATCTACGTACCGCAGAGGACCTCCCCCTGGATGTCTTGCACGTTCTTCTTCCACTGGAAATAACCAAATAGGGCTATATCAGCACTGCTATTGTTATAGATCCGATCTGGGGGTACATGAGAGGAGGATAGGTACATTTGCCCCGGTTTCATCGGGCCACATCTTCAGCTTCAACAGCTTGGCCGCTAGGGTATCTGCATCTTTCTGGGTATCATCTGGCCCGACGGCGGCAAACACCAGCACTCCACGGCCAATCGACGAAACAAGCTGTTTATCAACAGTAACCGAGGCAGATGTCACTCTTTGTAAGATCGCTGGATCAACAGGCCAAGGAGATGGTTAGAAGTAGTCAGTCAAGATGTGCTACGCCGGTTGTGTTCCCGGGGCTGAATTATGGGGGAAAGGAGGGGAGAAAGGGATGTCACACCTTTCATCTTCCCTGCCACGAGCGGAGATCCTAGAAGATAGTATCACGGCTATTTCATTATCATGCCATATATAGAAGTACTTTGTCTTTTTATTTTCGATAGATGTATGTATCGTAAAGCAAGTTGATATGGAAAATATTGCATTAACTACTTATTAGTCAGCATTTGATGGCTCAGCCAGTGATTTACAATGGCTAGTTACATGCGCGTCTCACAGACGAGGCTCTTTACAGTCAATGGAGGACAGAGGAGGCTATTCTACATGCATCTCTACCTATCCTAAGTGAGGTGACCCCCCACACACACTTAAGACCATAGGCTCCTAAAAGAGACATGAGGTCGTACCGTATAAACTTCGTATTTATCTCCGATACATCTTAGATACAGCAGCTTATTCTTAGGCACATTCCAAACTGTGAGGTAGTACAGCCTGAGCTAGCTTCTTGGAGAGCCGTCGGATTAGTCGTCGTCGTCGCCAATCTGTCGCCCGTACTAGATAAAACGCCATTGTATCAACAGGGGAGCCAAAATGTCCAGCGGAAGGCGGCATGGGGCTATCTGCGGCACAGCAATGCATGATTTATCCTCCGTAATTAGCATGAGGAAGGTCGTCTCAAGAAGGGAATTGCAGATTCGGCTGATTGCTTTCCTTGGATCGGAGGGTTTTTCTGTAGCCTGGCGGCTACCTGCGTGCATTATTTTGATCCCCTCCTCCATGTCCCCAAGCCCATCATCCAGTTGAAAGTACCCATCTGAGCCACTGCAACAGCTGGATATGCGGCACATGACGGCCACCGCATCTGAACCACCCGGCAAGTCAGCCAAAGGCCGTCATCGATGCCGTCGATGCCGTCGATACCGTCGGACAAGCGAGAAACGACGAAGTGAAGTTGAAAATATCCAAATTGGGGCTCACTCACGTGATCTGGCGCTTAGTTCTTCCGTTTGTTTCGGCTTCCAAGATTCTTGGCACGAATCGGCTTGGCGCAGCTTCTTGATGGAAGATGAAGATGAAGATGAAAGCAGTTCGAAAGCAACGGAACAGCTTCCTGCATCTCGCATCTCGCATCCGACCTCTTGCTCAGCTGAATTCACACGCGCCTGCACGGTGACGGAAACCATTGTCCCAGCGCTACGCCGAAGCTGCCCGATTTCGTGACCCGTTTCCCTCGCAACCAGGTTGACCACTGACGGTCTCATCCACACCCTGTACCACTCCTTCAGTCCCTGCACGCACGCACACGCATAACTATCTTGAGCTTCGGATCGAGCGCTCCTGAGAGCCAGGTTATGAAGACATCATCATGACTTCCCGAAAAACGCAGCAAGAAATTGACAAGACCTTCAAGAAGGTCGGTGAGGGCATACAATCCTTTGAAGGGATATATGAGAAGATCCGAAGCTCCAGCAATGCCGCCCAACGAGACAAGCTTGAAGACAATCTTAAACGGGAGATCAAGAAACTGCAACGGTTTAGAGACCAGATCAAGACATGGGCTGCCGGAAATGAGGTCAAGGACAAAAGCCCACTGCTAGAACAACGGCGAGCCATAGAAACAGTGCGCACTATATATCCCCATTTTCTTTCCCTACCCAGCATTAGGGAGGCAATACTGACATTCATATCTAGTGTATGGAACAGTTCAAGGCTGTAGAGAAGGAAATGAAGACCAAGGCCTACTCGAAAGAGGGGCTTTCGGCCGCAGCGCGCTTGGATCCCAAGGAGAAAGAGAAAGCAGACACGTGTGATTTCCTCTCCTCGACGGTTGACATTCTACAGCAGAAGATAGAGGCTATGGAAGCTGAAGAAGAGTCTATACAAGCGTCAATGAAAAAGGGCAAGAAGGACATCGCCAAGTCGAATCGGTTAGCGGATATTGAACGGTTATCGGAACGGCATAAATGGCACGTTGGGAAGCTAGAATTACTCTTACGATCATTACAGAACGGCAATGTTGAAACACAACAAGTGCTTGACGCTCAAGAAGCCATCAAATACTATGCGGAGGATGGTCACAATCCCGACTTTTGTGGAGAGGACGAGACTATCTACGACGACATACCGCTAGGCGACGATGAAGTCCAGTTCGGCATGAACAACGACAACGACCGGGTATCATCACAAGACACTCAATCGATACAGGAAGATGACGCAGAGTCCCGGCAGGCCAACAAGGGCAAGTCAGATTCAGGTCCTGCACGACGGCCATCAACACAGATGAAATCCCCTCTACCCGTCCTTGCCACGCTCCATCTTAATGGCCCTTCGTCATCGTCAGCAAGTTCAATGAAACCTGCACCCCCTCCGGCACGATTACCCGGAGAGACTCTCAAATATGCCTCTGCTGCCGCCGCCGCTGCTGCCAGTGACAAGGCTGGTGTTGGGATTGCACCCCTCCCACCACCCCCTGGTGCCAGCCCCGCCGTATCGGCAGCACAGCTTGCTTCCAAAGCGTCGTCAACGGCGTCACCTATGGTCCAGCCCGCACAGCCGGTGCAGGTACAACGGCTCATGTCCTCTGCCGGCAGCGCAGACGAGTCAGGAAGTCAATCCAAGTCGCCTACATTAAGTCCGAGCGTGACTGCAGCCAGTCGACCGGGGACCATGCCTCCTACACCCGCGATGTCCAAAATAGAAACATCAGCAACAACCCCGGCTGCATCAACGTCGGCCCCTAATAAGGAACGTACAGTAACGAATGGCCAGGCAAAGGGGAAGAGCCCAGATGAGCCGGCCGCAGACGAATCGGTATATCATCTCCCTCCAGGTCTCCAAGATCTGATTCACTCCTTCGAGGTGACCAAGTCACGGTCGACAGCTCCTCAGTCGGCGTCTGTACAACGGTTATTGGTAGCCTCACATAGTACATGCCCAGAGCCGGGAGATGCGGAGAAGCCCCGTCATTACAAGCCCCAGACGCCATACACAACGCCACTTTATTACCCTCAGGAGACATTACCCATATTTGACGATCCACGACTATACGAGACCGGCAGAATAGATACAGACACGCTGTTCTATCTCTTCTACTACCGTCAGTCCACGTATCAGCAGTACCTGGCTGCCAAGGCCCTCAAGAACCAAAGCTGGCGCTTCCACAAGCTGTACCAGACCTGGTTCCAGCGCCATGAGGAGCCGAAGAACATCACTGAGGAATATGAGCAGGGTACTTATCGGTTCTTTGATTATGAAAGCACCTGGTAAGTTATATTCATCCCCCCATCTTTGTCTTCGTAATGGTTTGGCTTGTGTACCCGGGTTCGGCACTTGGTTACTGTCCCACGGCGGGTGTCAAAAACAGCTTATGCTAATAATATCACGGCTGTTAATAGGATGAACCGACGAAAAGGTGATTTTAAATTTGTCTACAAGTACCTTGAAGATGATTTGTAAAACAGTGCAAGGCCGTCTGTCAGTGTCCGCCAAATACAATGACAATCGATTCTGTTGAAGTACAATGCACATCCCTCTACTGTCCCGTCTCTCCCCAATCTCCTTTTTACTCCTTCAGTCCTGTTTTTTGGTCCTGCATCTTCCTAATTCCTCCTGCGCTCACATAACTACGTACCTTGCTCTCCCGCAACTTCCGCGATTTTTCTCTTCTTTTTATTTAGCTTCTTGTTTTCTATTCATTGGATGAAAGGGAATGGGGAACGAGTAAAGTGAAATGATAGGCAATTCTTTAGTTACCTGGGACTGGAACCGGGCTGGGAGGGAGTTTAACCTGTTTGATTTCTTTTCTGACTTCTTTCCGGTGTGATGTCATTTTAATTTGTGAACTACTACTCCGTACCTCTTCCGAGTCTCCTCGAGAGTGTATTTGGCGCAAATCGGCAACCTATGCTTTTCCCATTCCCGTCTTCTTTTTGCTTCTCCTGATTCTCCGGTCTCTCTGTGCCTCTATGTGCCTGTACCCGGTCATTTCTCCGGAATATTCCCTCACAATTAGAGAGCAAGGCAAGCCAAGTCCAGGGCTCTCTCCCCTGCAGAACAGCCTCCCACTCCTCTTCGTGTTTTCTAGTCTCCGCTTCTTCTCGAATCCTTCTCTTGTGGGGGTTCAAGCGCAGGCAGAATCATTATTGGCATCGATCAGGGGGGCAGTGCTAGCGCGATGTAACTAACTAAATGCCGGGGTAGTGAAGAGAGGGACGGGCCATCGGCAAAAAGCTGAGGCTGTCTTCAAGGAGTGATGTCGTTTTTCTCACCTGATCATAGCAGTCAAGGCGAAAGAGCCCTTCGAGCCTTTTCCAGCCTCCAGGCACACACCATTTACTTGGTTGTTGGATTTATCCTTTCATTGGCATTCACGGTCTTGAGGCAGTGCTGGAAGAAGACTATTTAGTTACAGCATTCGAGTTTGACCTCGCCAAAAATAAAATGAAACGAGAGAGGGTTGGTTCGCTTCTCGGGAGTCTCATGATCCAGTCCTATAAGGCGACGTGTGTTTATTGCACTGGTTGGCTGGTTGGTAGCCCCGGTGGTGCTGGCTATTGGTTCGAGAAAAATTGTCCCTCCTTCTGAAATTAATAATAATGAGTGATCAAGTTGGGCATCAAGAAAGCAGGGCAGCTAAAAAAGGACGAAGATAAAAGAGACTGATTGTTCCACGAGATAACAATAGCTAATAGCGGAGGAAAGAGGATAAGACATGTTAAATAACTTATAAGACCGCTGATGCCGGCAAGCCTCTTCTCGTTCCTGATTTCTAATGTCCGACGTCTGCTATCTCTTGCTGTGTTATCAACTCTAGTTATTGCTTGTGTTTGATAGGCCGTCCAATGCCGCGTAAGAAATGAAAACATAATTAACTGGACTGGAAAGGTTATTTCCTCGGAGATGGGCTGCTGTGATTGATTCCCCCTGATGAGATGGATGCTTTGACGCCCTCTTTGCGCTTTGCCTTGGGGGTGCTTCGTGTAGAGGCCTGCCTGATACCTGAATCGGTTGCATGTGCAGCCCAGCCAGTGTTGCGCACTGGAGACGGCGAGGGTTGCAAAGGCTGTGTCAGTAGAAGCAGCACGAAGGACTCTGTATGGTCTCGAGTTTTCTCTTTTCTCTATTTTATCTATCAACTTTGATCCTCGAGTTGAGCCTGTCAGTCTGTCAGCCAGTTCTTTTCTCCCAAGGCCGAAAGCTAGAGGCGAGAGTCCGCCTCGCCCTACCCTGCCACGCCAGGCTGGCTTGCGGCATTTTTAATCGGTCGATGAAGCTGAGGGACCATTGCACTGCCAACAAGAGACGAGCGACAGGCCAGAAGACGGGCCAGAAGGGAGCAGGATGGGCGATGCTGGCCATTTTTGATGCCTGACGTTCGATGTTTGACGTTGAAGACGAAGAAGAGAAGAAGAGAGAAGACGACGACGAAAAGGTGAGAAACAGCCAAAAAGGGAGGGGGGACGTGCTTAGATAAGCAAGACAGCCGACTTCGACCTTTTTCTCCAGAAGAGGAAAAAGACGACGACGAAGATGAGGACAAGCAAACATCCAACGACTCGCTGGCACAACAGAGACGTCAGAGAAGCGGAGAGAGACAGAGAGACAGAGAGACAGAGAGACAGAGAGACAGAGAGAGACGGGATAGCAGAGACAGAGACACGATGACGGCGATGGTAGCAACCTCATTAGGCCGGGGTGGTTGGGTTTGAAACGCCTGCATGGCCACGTACCTGACGGAGACATTGAGGTGACGCTGGTGACGGCGGCGATGATGCTTGATGGTTGATGGTGAACGCTGCACAGCATCTGCCCGACGCCTGCATAGTACACCTCTCGCTCTCTGATTACTCTCCGTAACCGTGTACTTACATACGTGCTGTATCAGAATATACTCCGTGCTTGGCTAACCAAGTCGACAGGTCGCACACGATTTAGCAGGTTACACGGGGTGCATCTCTATTGCAGGGTTATTATTAACAGCAGGCCCGTTATTGATTGACTGGCCAAGGAACATTCTCCAGCCAGTGAGAGTGAGTGGCCGGGGTCCTCGTTTCTTTTTCTCTGGCCTGTCGACATGGCCTAAACGGCCCTAAAAAAGGAACGACTCTTGTGGAGCAACCACAGGAAGAAGATCCAAACGCCCACTGCATCTTGCAGACACCCGGTCTATCACTCATCCTTTGCCCGTCCAAACAATATCACCATGATGGAAATCCCTCAGCTTCAGGCTCCATTGTCGGCCCGCCCCGTCATCGATGCTTACGAGAGAGGCCTTTTCTTCACCGCAATAAGGGTGGTGTCCGTATCAGACTAACCACCCATGGGCTAACTAACTAGCTGGCTTACTGGAATGAGGCGAAGGCGAGATGGATGGGAGGGCTGAGCAGTCGGTCTCCGTCTCATACACACACCACCATCCCGTCCTATCCCATCTCGATGACCAGTTGACCACCAGCCAGTCTGTGTCTGCCCTTCCGTGGAGTTCTCGCTCCGTTCTAAGTTAGCTCTGTCTATGCGAACTTGATCTCCATATCATCCTTCCCTCTTACCACTGCATATGCTCGTTTGTAAAACCATCCAAGGTCTCCTCCGCCTTGCCCGCTGTGGGACCCAAGGTCACTCCTGTCACCCCTCCGGCTATTCTACGTCTCTTCCTCTGATATCTGGTTTCCGGCGCCGATTGCCGGTCGAAGCGGACTCTGCATGTACCGCCATTCCTTTGTTTAAGAGGTTGCTCTTATTACTTCATACTCAACTCGGCGGTTTCCATTCCGCTGCCCCTTCTTCTCCTGTCCTTATGATTAGGCTTGTCTCCTATCAGGATCGAGCTGATATTCGCTTACGGCCAAATACCATTTTGCTTCACTTCTTCTTCCTCCCCCTAACCAATTCTTTTGCCTCTCTAATACGTACCCGCCTCTCTCCCCGACGTCATTTCCTCTCTCGTACTCTTACAGAGAGGCTGTGTTCCCATCACTCTTCTTCCACGTGCAAAGTGCACTCCTTATTTTCTATTCTATTCTATTTTTTTCAATACAGAGAAGCACTTGCTGCCCGCTCATGTAATCGTGCCACCTGGGACCAGCGAGTTATCTGGCCAACCAATCTACTGGGTGTTTCTAAGTGCATGGGGGTAGCATAACCGCTAGCTTCACTCTTTGCTGTTGTTTCAATCGAACTCATCTTCCCCTCGTCGTTTACCCCTCGAGTCAGCTCGTTAACACACCGAGGCTGTGAAACGTTCGATGGGCATCATTCTGCTTGTCTTGCATTGCTGCTTAGGTTATCTGGGGATCTGCTGCTTTCTGCTGTTTCCCTTCCCCTTCTCCTTCCCTTGTCACGTGTGGCTGCAAAGGCTGCCATTTCTGTGCTAGGTGAAGGTTCGCCTCCTTTTCTCGCTGGTACCTGAAGGGTATATAAAATATCACCAGTAACCCCCCCTTCTCTCCATCCCTCCTCACCCACAATCACCATACTACTTCAAAGACATTACATACATACAATACTCTTGGAGCCCCCTTTTGCTCAAAGACATTACTCTTCTGCCTACGGCTTGACATTCAACACCACCAACTACCCGTCTCATCCTTCACTACTCACACCATGTCTCTCCCTTACCGTCAGAGGCAGACTACCTACCAGTCTCCCGTCCGTGGAGAGTCCTGGAGAGAAACCTCTGATAATACCTACACTACCTCAACTCGGTCGCAGCCAGGCTATCTCTCTCCTCTGGCTCCTCCCATGGCCTACTCAAGCTCGACGGACAGCAACCTATCCATCTCCACATCATACAGCGCAGCGTCAACATACTACAACACTATCCAGTCATGTCACTCGCCCTCAAACTCATATGAATATGACTCTACCTGCGAGTACGAGCCACGTAGTTCGACGCAGGGGCGGCCCAAAAGCCACTCCACCTCGTCCAATCAGGAGTATATCTTTGATGGCCAGACCATGGCTGCCCTTCCCTCCAGCCCCAGATCATCAACAGCTGCAGAGAGGTACCTTGCCACTCCAACCCCAACCCCAACTTCAACCCTATCCTTCACCCATCAACCACGTTACCATACCAGAGAGACTAATCCGTGTTGCCACCCATCTAGGTCTACCCAGCGGTTTATCTGCCTGTACGAAAACTGTGAAGGCTCGTTCAGCCGGGTAGCTGATCTGAGCCGACACCAGAAGTCAATCCACTTCCCGACGAGAATGGATTGCCCCAAGCCACGCTGTAACCGCAAGGGCTTCATGGGTTTCACTCGCGAAGACCATCTTACCGAGCATCTTCGTCAGTTCCATGGAGAGCAGCTAGCCAAGCGTACCTCCAGCAAGTCCAAGCGTGCTGAGGCTACATGCTAAGCTTAACAGGCGACCACCACCCTGTTTCTCGTCCTTCTTTCACTTCCTGCCAGAGAGGCAGAGAAACCATATTCTCATTTCATTGCATCCCTCGATATTTCGGATTGTCTCAGCCCTGATCTAAGAAGCATTTGCATTGCCTTGCCTTTGGATTCTCCTTTTTGAGCTGGCACTCATCTGCAGATGAACCGACTTTGTTCGTTTTCTTTTCGATTTATTCTTCCATTTTATTCTATTGCCGTCAAATGTTCGAGTGGGACTTGTCTCCCTCGAACATTTGTACCTTGCCTTTCTTGACCTGTTTTTCAGTGTCTCTACAATCTATCCAGGACAGTGGCGTTGTGTGGACACAAACATCTTTTCTTTCCTATCTCTTTCATCGCGCACTAATTATGAGTCTATGCTCTTTAATGCTTTATATTTTCTCTTTCTCCTTTTCTTTTTCCCTGATTTTCTTACTCTTTTTTCTTTTCTTCAGTGTACATGATTACTTCCTTTTTTTCCCTTCCTTTTTTTCTCCCAAGCTTTTCATCTTCTCGTGTTTTGAACCCTTATCAGTATACTTCTTTCTGTATACGCCAGGTGTATATCATGCGGAGCTATCTCTTTACCTTTCCATTTCTCATAACTTGGTCCAGAATACCGCCTATCGCGCTTGACAATACCAAGTCTTGAAATCGTGAAACTGAACCCAGCCTCATCCCCAGTCCCCAGTGGCTCAACTTTCCCCTTGTTTTCATCTCTCTCTCTCTTTTT